TACGAGTGGATAGTCAATAACACTATCTTTTTATCGAATTATATGCTATCTTAAGTGAGGGTTACTCAGCTGTGGCACGTATAGATATTCAAATAATTGTACAGAATGTTCTTCGTGCAAAATAATTAATTCAAATTTTCCGTAGAAAATCTGTTTGTTACGAAATACGTCCATGGTTACGAATGTGTCTAGGAGTCACACAATTTCATTTCAATATATTGAAAAAATATCCAGCTTATTGGAAAAACATCCATTATATTATTACGCTTACGTAAGCGTAATATATCAATTAGAGAGTTGAAGTAATCACTGTACGTAGACCTCCACGTAGACGTTAACGTACGAAAAATAACGTTTACGTATTGTCGTTAAATTGAGTTGAAGTCGCCACTTTGGTCGTCACTGTCATCATTACGTAATAATACATTTTGTTTTCGGTTTGTATTGGTCATTTTTGGTTGTGTTTAGATTCGAATATTTATTCCTGTCAAAATTAGAGGACTCCTTGATGCAGAACTCGTTGGTGATCTCGAATTTGATCATTTTGACTCATCGGCATATTTCGAGTATCGTTTGGTTAACGTACGTTGGTATTTAAGGTATACGTGAAGGAACGTGAGATAACGTACACCCGTAAGCTCACTAACAACGCAAACGTGAAGAATTGGAAAATGCGCATGCGTAGCTGTCAATTTCTACGTTTACGTTAACGTTCATGACAACACTTCAACTCTCGAATGTCCCGACACAACCATCTTGGCACATCCAAGGTCAGATATTGTACTACATGAAGCTAAATATTGGCGCCAATTTTTGAAATGAACTTCGTAATACTTATCTCGTTAATATTTCGGTACAAGACTAAAAGGATTCTTTAATAAAGGTAGCAACAAGGAAATAGTTATTTGTTTTACTAGGCAGAAAAGTTGAAGATTGACTGCCGCGACTGATAGTTCATAGCCGAGCGTAGCGAGGCTAGGAATTCAGCCAAGGCAGTCAATTTTTTTTCTCCAAACGATATAAAACCAATTTTGTGTAATTTTTCTATCGAGAACTCGAACATTTTGTGTTCACCCAATGCCTAGGCAGTAATAGTACATCTTTTCTGCCTGTTAAGCGGCAGGAAAAAGCCACTATCCCTGCCGCTTGGAGAAAAAGTAGATTTATTTGTAAAGAAAATTAATGAGACACAGGGCTATTAATTCTAGTAAAAATAAAAAATGTAATAAGTTTCAGACATATATTTTGAGTATCAAAGCATCTTTGGTTGTTTTCTTCTTAGTAGAAAATAGACGTACTTGCTTTTCTGTTTTTTATCAATGTTTTTTCCTTCATTCATCGTGTCTATAATTTTGTCGGGGGTAATACCACAAGAGCTCAGATTTAGCCGGATATTTTTTGTGGTTGTTTTCGAATACTTACTTTCATTGGCAATTTAACGAGAGCTGTTCTGACAAAATCACGAGAGCGTAGCTCGAGTGATTTTGTCCGAATAGATCGAGTTAAATTACCTATATGAAAGTAAGTATGAGAAAACCACCGTAAAAAATATCCTGCTAGATCTGAGCTCGCGTGGTATTTGGTAAGACAATTCCATGAATAGAAAACTCAATTCAATTAAACTTTATTTAACCAACTAAAAGAACAACAAGTAAAAGAATAATGTTTAGAAAGAACAGTTGTTAAAAACACAATTATTATATACAATTGGTTCAGTAGACATTTGCTCCTTTACTGATGTAGATTTTGTGTTTGACATTGACATGGATGTGGACACTATGGCTGATTCATTATCCAAAGCTTTATTTCGAAGATTTGTTACAAGATGCGAATGATGCTCATTATCAAGTTGTAAATAAGGCTTTATGGACTTGGAAGAGGAATGTCCAGTTATTTTTATCAATTCTTGTTCATTGATACCTGCTTTAGCTAGAGTTGACACGGCGCTTGAGCGATGAGAATGATTAGAAATTTTTTTATTCTTTGTATCCAGTCCAATTTTTTCAGCTGAAATTTTCGTCCACTTGAGAATTTCGTTGACTCCTATAGGAAAATTTTTGTACCAACTTTTCGGTGAATTACTTTTCCAAAACGGATTGGGGGTTATAAATAATCTATCAGTTGTAATATGGTTCGGTCTATGTGATAATATTTTATAAAACAATGTTACTGGGCATATGCTTGGGTTTTCTATGTTTTTATTAGCCATTTACTGTCGCAGCATTTGTTTGAGCCGCCCTGACATGTTTTGGAAAAAACTGTATTATATTCAATGCGGCCAGTAAAATCACCATTATTTGATTTTTCTTCTTTAAAATAGTGTACTACACATTTTGCAGCTTCACCTCCTCGCCAAGCTAATTCATATGCAGCGATATGAAAAAAAATTTTTAAAAGACCTATAGGACTATTTTCATCCCATATCAATGCCATTTTAACAATTTCACTTTTAGTCAAGGCTGTTGAACTATTTTTACGTTTTTCTAAATTACCTTGTAAGTTCTTTCGCTTAGAATTACGTGCATCACGGGATTTCTTGAATGCCAAATCAGTGAAAGGATTGAAAATAACATTAAATCTTTCGAAATACATGCTTTGCAACATCTTCGCTGTTGTGTTCCACATTGTTTTCACCACGTATTCTTTATAATCTTCCCCATTCTGTTTCTTCATATTAAAGCCCCAGTCCATCAATATTCCTGCCACATTTTCCACTGACTGTTCGGTTTCCAAATTGAAGTTTCGTTGTTTACAAAATTCGCTGAATTGATTCCAAATGGAGGATTGACTTTTTTTTGTATTTTCTGGAGTTGATTTTTCAATCTCCCTCACTATTTCTGCCTCGCAAATGTTTCCAAATCTCGACATACTCACTGGAATATTATTTGCTGATTAATTCTGTCTTTGACATTTACAATTGTCAAACTGATGCGACGCGCAATAACGCTTGATGAACGAACAGTAAATACTAGCGTTGCTACGGTAACGTAATTTATCCGATTTTTTTATCCACTTGCATTTCTGTTCCTTCATATTTAGCCGATAGCAAACTACGATTTTTGTACTCGCAAATGGAAATTATTATACATGAGTGGAATTGTCGCAATTATTCAGAAATATAGCGATGTTGCTCTTCAGATAGGGACATTGATGCATCACACATATACCTATTAATTATTATTTCACATCTCTTTATATCATCCATCATCCATTTCAAATATGAAATTATAAAATATAAACTCAAATGAAAAATACAACTTCTACGACTTCTACGCGCTAATCGAATCAAAAAAATAAATATTTTGCACCACTTGACATAATTGACATATGAAAAATCATATTTGACCTTGGATGTGCCAAGATGGTTGTGTCGGGAGACGCTCGTCTGAGATCGGTGACGGCCGGGGCAGGAATAGTTATTTGTTTAACTAGGCAGCAAAGTAGTAGATTGACTTCCGAGGCTGAATTCATAGCCGAGCGTAGCGAGCCTAGGAATTCAGCTATAAGTCAGTCAGTTTACTTTGCTGCCGAGTTGAACATATAATTTTTTCTCCGATTGTTCATAATGATATAGGAGGATATTGTATTTGCAAATTATTACTATTCCCAGATTCCCACAATCTCTTTATTTTTCCTGTTCCAATTGAACACATGTTTTTTAAATTATTTATTGTTGAAAGTGTTAAGTAATAATTGCTGATAAATGTTTACGTCAAATGTTTCATTCCCATTGAGTATAATCACTTTGCTGCCTAGGCAGGAAAGGTAATACTTTGCTGATTGATATGTGTCAGCAAAATTAATATTTGCTACCAATCGGAGAAAAAAGAAATTTTCGGACGGAGCTTAGAGTGGTCCTTCTAGGGTAATCTTGTTTCAAGTCGAACGCCCTACAATGCCTACTCGTTATGCAACCCAACTATAGGTATAGCGGCGTCCGGGTTGCAGAAATCTTGTACAGCTGCAGGTCCCTGCTCAGGCGGAGAAACAAGGCGCTTAGGATTTGGTAAACCTTTACTAGATGGCGCTGGTGGCATGATTGTGATTGAAATGTCGCGCTAGTGTTTAACAAGGTTTCACATTCTGGTTTTCCTATTGCAGTTACAAATAGGTTTATTATTAGTCCGATTAGAATGAATGGTCTCATTTCATTTATTTATGTTGAATACTAATGATATTATCATTAAATGACTTTCAAATTTGCCGCCTATTATACAAGGTGTTCCTTAAGTATCTGGTAAATAATTCAGGAGCACTTTGCTGACGTCAAAATATGGAGATACAGAGTGTCAAAGTTTGAGTGTTATTCCTGGTTTTTGGTAATAAATTCCAATATGATCATGACATATAATGATAAGAACTTTTCTTCTTATGTTGACGTCAGCAACATGCTCCAGAAATCTTCACAAGTACTTAAGAAACACCCTGTATATAGAAATAGACAGGCACCAGAGACAGCTTCCGTTAATTTTTACTCATCAACCATTTATTGAGTCATTATCAACAAAGGTCGTCATCAATTTCTCTGTGTCTAGCCTGACACTACTTCAGGATTCTGTTCCAATTAACTTGACTATCCTTGAATTAAAAGCTTGTTTTTCTTGTAACCATATCATTTAACCAAACCTTAAATTGTCATGCATGAATTATTCATATAAAATTTCAATGTTTTCCATTCATGTGGACTCAAAAGGTAACCATTTTGTCAAGCATATTGATCAAAATGAAATTCTCTTTTAAGTGTTTCAGCTAAAGCAATTAACAGTTATTATATAGCTTTGAAAACACTTATAGGTGATTTGAAATTCCTTAGATTCAAAAAAGGCAAAGCATGTTAGGAGAAACAGAAAAAGATTATAAGTCCTGCTTATATTTTGTATAATGATGTAAAATAATACAAGAGTATTTCAGGAAAATGTTTATTATTTCATTCAATGTAATTTTTACCACTATAACCATAAAAGCAGTAATTAATAGATAGATTGTACAAAAATTATTTCACACACACAAAATTTCCATCTCATTTGTGAACTCAATCATAGATAAAATCGAACATCTAACAATACTTGTCTCTTGACATAGAAATTAATTATTGATTCTTTATTGGAGGACCCATTGGTGGTCTCACAGGACCCATGGGACCCATCGGTCCCATCTGCATGTGCATACCCATCATTGGAGGTCTCATCCCCATCATAGGAGGCATAGGTCCATGGGGGCCCATCATCATAGGTGGCATTGGTCCTCCTGGTCCCATTGCTGAAAATATATCAGATAATATAATATGACATGATCTGATATACAGGGTGATTCATTAAGAATGGGAAATCTCTGAACTACAGATGTTAAACACCAGAATATGAAGATGAAATTTTCATTTTAAATGGTTCCTCAACTTTGGTCTTACATTTACTATGAAATTCTGTTTGTCATTATTGATAACTTGCTTTCGTTCCACTATCACCTCCCAACTTTATAATTCAAAATTATTAAAACTGTATAAGTGCCAAGTGGAAGTAGTGGAACAACAATCTCTTCAAGAGCCAATAATGCAACAACCATTAGAGCTAGACGATTTGAAAGAGATTACATTTTCTATGTAAAATTCACCAGGCTTTCAGATTTTCTACTTATTTTGAGCATCATTCAATGGATAAAGAAGCAGAAACGCCACTAGCACCCTCCATGAGTGACCACAAAATAAGTTGAAAATTCATATTTCTCATGTAATTAAATGTCAAACTACAAAATTTCATGTTCATACTGTTGAAACCTGCAGAGTTATTGAGAAATCTTTCCCAAGAACACCATTTATCTCCTGAACCAGCAACATTCCTATCAGGCATGTTGGGCTTAATCTCAATAACTTAGTGTTCATTTTCTATATTATGTAGTTCAGCGATTTCCCATTCTTAATTAATCACCCTGTATAAAATTCTCATGTTATGGTATATGTTGACAAATTCCTCCAAAACGGCTTGACCGATTCTTATGGAAGTGTTTGTGAATGATTAATATCTTGCTATGTCCTATGAGCACTAGTGAAATATGTGAAACTATCTTACGTCCTGGTGGCATCATGGGTCCACCAGGTGCCCCTGGCCTCTGTCCCATCGTCAGTTGTGCAGGAGGTGGAATTGCCACACCACCTTTTCCAGGCTGAGCAAAGGGATTGTTAGCAATTTTGCCTGCTTTGAAAGCTGCCGTAGTAGCATCTATCAGGTGCTGCGCTTGCTCTTCCATCCATTTCTGATAATAGAATTTCACGTTGTCTTTGTGTTTTCGACCCGTACAATGAGTTTTTCTCACACTTGGAGAATCGTGAGTCAAGTAGGTATCACAGTAGTCACAGTAGTATTTAGGCATGATGAATATAATAACCTCAACAAGAACGTATTTCGGGATATCTAATCCTTTGGAGATATTTTGGCAATCCGTGAATTTATTCAAATCACACAAGAACGAAGTTTAGAAGGGAATTAACGAGCTAGGAGAACAAATCGAAATCAAAAACAAATATACAAACACAACCTACTATAACCTATAACTTTCTCCTTCTTTTCTTAAGTCATATAATCTATTCGCAAGAATTCAATTCCACCGCAGTCCAGTACACAACCAATCAGAAAATTGTATGTTGGCAACACTGGACCAATACTGGACATGATAGACTTCTGCTTCTTTTTTTAAATATAGGCTATAGAGTTCTTAGTTCTCATATTTTTCCGCAAAAATTCAATTTCACCGCAGTCAAGTACACAACCAATCATAACGGAAGTTTCCTTCAGATGAATTTTCATAAAATAATTTCTGAACTCTCCAGTTTTATGTCCACGCTGTACGGAATGGCGAACGATAAAGTCCAAGTCGTTTTCATTTTCAAATTAAAGCAATTTCTAATTTTCGAGGCGGCAAACTGTGACGTACATTCTGAATCTAGTCTGAAAATAGCTGATGTTGAAGAATATAGCTAGCGAATAGGTATCGAATGAAAAACGAATGAAAAAAATAGAAGAAGAAGTAAAATTGGTAAACAAAAACATACATAACTACAATGTACTCGGAGCAGGAATGCAGAGGGTAGTTGGCTTCATTCTGACATGATATGGTTTTGTGATGTATGCATTGAAATATCTCGAATAGTAGTCGGGGCTAAATTCCAAAAAAAGCCCTCCGTTACAATCCTAGAAGCATTTCATGTAACAATTGGATAAATGCTGTTAACCCCCTATTTTGACCCCGCTGAATCCGAAAATACCGTTTATCAAGTCCAAATTCCAACTGGAAGTGAGATATTCAAGATGGCGTCCAGAATACCCCTAAAATCAAATTATTTTCTACTTTCGGTCAGCTATACGATTGAGGTGTCGATGTCTATGTTTTCGGGGGTGTAGAATACGATGAGACACTCAAAAAATTACTTGGAGCTTTGAAAGTTCATCGAATGATCAAATTTTGACAAAATGGGCCAAAATTCCAAAGAACTAGTGAAAACGTGTTGTATAATGTACATGCTTGCATACGTTTTCGAGGGTGCTCGATACGTTTATGAGCCAAAAAAGCATTTGAACATTGTCCAAGCCTTCATTTCTTATATTTTGAAGAAAAAAAGTTCACTATTAGTAGTCTTCCTCATCTTTTCTGCTCCATTCGGCTCCCTGCAGCCACACTGCTTCGTGCCGCAGTGGCCGCAGAGCCCCATGCAGCCACAAGCTCCAAATTCGGGACATGACTTGGGAATAGGTAGCAAAGTCATCAAGATTGGGACTTACCGTCCATCACCAATTTTCCAGCCGCAATTAATCGGGTCTAGTGAATCAAGATACTGATCATGGGCGTTAAACCACACACTAGTACCTAAAAAGAAAACAGACTAAAATTAAAATCCCTCGATTTTTTCTATTTTATTTTTCTTCTTGTTAATTTTATCTGGAAGTGGCACCGAAGAATGTGTTGATGGATGGCATCAGTGGTAGATTGCAAAAATCATTCGCACTGTCCCAAAAATTGCAACACGGGCTGCGTCTGCCGTTGTAATGTCCGGTCCAACTTGAAATAAAAATGATATTAGTATAAAAACGGCTAACAGTTCTAATTCACCATGTGTCTTAGAAAAGGGACGCAACAATAAACCTTGTATAAAGCTGGCACCACAAACTGTTCAACCAAACGGAGATCCTCGGGGGCTATATCAGGAGTCTTTCCAAGCTGACTGAGGGGTTTACAGTAGTTTTCTTCAATGTACTGCTTCCACCGTCCTGTTTTTGTGGCAGAGCCTCATCAAGATTTAGTATCACATTCGATGATTGCGTGGAAATCCATCAGGTTTTTGATCTGCTGTGATGTGAGCCTTCTACATAGTTCATGAATTGGAATATACTTTCTATCTCGGGAAGTACCACACATCACCCAGCATTCCTTGCATTTCATTCTTTCAAAGTGATAGATGAATAATGAAATCACACTAGTGTCTTTCTCTCTTTCGGTATTCCAATTCACGAACTACGTAAGAAACTTGCACCACAACAGATAAAAAACTTGATGGCTTTCCACGCAATCACTGGATGTGATACTACATTTAAGTTAGCGTCAGTCACAAAAACAGAACGGTGGAAGCAAGTACATAGAAGAAAACTACTGTAAACTCCTCAGTCAGCTTGAAGAAACTCCCGATCTAGCCCCCGATGATCTCCGTTTGGTTGAACAGTTTGTGGTGCAAGCTTTATACAAGGTTTGTTGCGTTTTTTTTCTGAGACACATGGTGAATAAGAACTATTAGCCGTTTCGATACTACTACCATTTTTATTTTGAGTTGGACCGGACATTACAACGGCAGACGCAGCCCATGTTGCAATTTTTTGGACAGTGCGAATGCTTTTCGCCATCTACCACTGATACCCTCCGTCAACACATTCTCCGGTGCTACTTCCACAGGTAAAAGAAAATTGAACAAATCGAAGGATGTTAATGTTATGTTCAGATACTAGTGTGGATTAACGCCCATGATCAGTATCCTGATTCATGAGACTCGAATAATTAAGGCTGGAAAACTGTTGATGGACGATATGTCCAAATCCTGATGACTTTGCCACCTATTCCCAATTCATTTTCCGAATTTGGAACTCGTGGCTGCAAGGGGCTCTCTCAAAATATGAGAAATGAAGGCTTGGACAATGTTCAAATGCTTTTTTGGCTCATAAACTTATTGAGCACCCTCGAAAGCGTATGCAAGCATATACATTATGCAACACGTTTTCACAAGTTCTTTGGAATTTTGGTCTATTTCGTCAAAATTTGATCATTCGATGAACTTTCAATGCTCCAAATCATTTTTTGAGTGTCTCATCGTATTTTACACCCCCGACAACATAGACATCGACACCTCAATCGTATAGCTGACCGAAAGTAGAAAATAATTAGATTTTAGGGGTATTTCGGACGCCATCTTGAATATTTCACTTCCGGTTGGAATTTCGACTTGATAAACGGTATTTTCGGATTCAGCGGGGTCGAAATAGGTGGTTAACGTCATTTATCCAATTGTTACATGAAATGCTTCTAGGATTTGGCTTTTCGCAAAACAAGCCCCGACTATAGAGATTGAATCAATGAATCACTATCGGCTACATTCAATGATACTATCCTTCCTAATTTACTGCCATCGGTCAGAACAGAATGAAGCCGGCACCCATTATGCGCTGTTGCAAGATATAATCTGCAACAATCCTAGAAAATAGATTCGTTTTATTAAGAACGAATTCATTAGCAAAAAAATGACTGACAAGTTATGGATAACATATTGTAATATAACGATAGTGAAAAATTAGAGATACTATCGCAAAATATCTCAATTTATCTTTATTAGTAATCAACTTCATTCAGCCAATGAGAGATTTATGGAAATTATTCATAATACTTGACAAATCAGGATTGAAGAACCTATTACATCCCATTGCTGTTATGATATAGTTATTATGCATTCAAAGAACAATTTCCGAAAATCTAGACATAATGATAATGTCGGCAACGTCGTACTGACACAGGCAATCGTATTTTAACTCTGTGCACCTCTGTGTGAATGTGGATTTCCAGAAAATACGTCATAGGAATGGTGGAGGAGCCAAGTTCCTCTTTTATTAATTTTTTTCTGAAGTGAAATTTCATCTTACGAAAAAAAGAAAAAATACGTATATATTAATTTTTTATAAACTTCACAGTTAGATAAAAACCTCAATATAGGAAACTTCCCCAATCTTTTGTCACAGAAAAAAATAGTGTATTATACACACTACACAGGAAAAATATTAGATTTTACATCACGGGTTTTTATCTCCCTCCGTTACGCGTCGGAGCTAAAATCGATCACATTTTTTCCTTATTGTATAATAAAAGACTATAATGAATGAAGAAAACGCGATTTACTCCAACAAATAATATTCAATATCGGCAATATCCAATATGAGGAAAATACCTAAAATTATATAAGTTTTCTTTCACAGTAATTGCTCAGAAATATTTTCGTTCGCGTTCAAGCATTTATTTACTTTTTCTAAAACTCTTCTCGCAGACCTTTGAACAGATCGCCTTGATAAAACGGTTATGTGTTGCTACTGCAGTTTTTCTATATGGTCGAAATTGAGCCGTTTTTAAAAACTGTGTTGTTTATGGCGCCCCAGAGAAAAAAATCAAGTGGCGTCAAATCCGGTGATCGCGCTGACCATTCTAGCACAACTCTGTTTCCAATATTGACCATGTATGACAATAATACATTTTGAATAAGATCAATTCAATTATGAAGTACTTCGTACTGAATAATGTGTTAGACAAAGACAAATTGATAACGAAAACACTCTGTGTCAGACAAAGATGAATATTTGCTTAGCAGATTTTTTTTCACAAGTAAACATTTTATGAATTGTTTAAATACACCATCATATCGTGGAGATCAAGAACTACCTACCGGAGAAAATCCAGACACGGCGGATTTCAAATTTGACAATTCCATATTGTAGGGGAGGCAAAGGGGCAATGATGAAGTGATTGAAACTATCATTTTGATGTATTGTCAAGAATGGATCGAAACTATAATAAATTTATTGGGAATATTTGAAATTTCCATTTCATTTAAGAACAGTGCAATAACCTAGTCTAGATCATATTCTTATAGAATTATTTAGCTTACAGGATATCAGTAGAGAATTACGATATTCAAAGGATATTATAATTCGGATTTCAATCCTATGATTATTCAAGTAAAGTCGCTGACGGGCAGAAACTGCTGGTTTTGGATTTTTCCTAATTCGGTGGTAACGGGGTGAATACACTAGTTTTTATGCTGAATCAATTACCACTACCAAAACCGACATAAAAGTATTGGAGGAAAAACCGGCAGTTGTGGTTCGGACAGTGGACCGTAAAGTATAGTTTTTTCAAATTCTCTAACAAAAAAGTAAATCTTGAACATTTTTGCATCATGTCTGAACTTCGTGAGTGGCAGTTCCAA